TAGATCTGAGTTATTTTACCCCCACTTCACCTTATCAGTCAGGTTCTATTTAAGTTCTTTCTTTCTGCTAAAGGTCAGGCAGTGACCAGGCCAGTGAAACTCAACTCAGCTAATCACAGTAAATTCATGATTCAAACTGCAGTTTCCCCCCTTTTGTGCTTCTTTTTTTCTCACATGAAAAAAAGAAACAAAAACAACAACAACCGAGTTCAATATAAATAAATCATTCCCTCCCACTCAACCTCCATCTTTAACAATGGTTTGTTAATCATAAACTAATAAGTAACTTGTAATACAGTAAAATGTGAAGCAATGCACATTCACCTCGTCTCAGTCATGATTGGAGTTTTATGAATAAACAACAACAAAGAGGGACAAAATGGCCACCATGTGAAAGTTCCACAGCCAGAACTACTGCTGAGCATAAAGAACATGAAAGCCCGTCTCTCATTGGCCAAAATAACATCTTAATGATCTCCAAGAGTTCTGGAGAAATATTCTGTGGCAAAATTGGAACTTTTTGGAAGCATTGTATCTTGTTAATTCATCTCAGTATTTTAGAAAAATGAATCCAAGAGTCAAACATGGTGGAGGTAGTGGCTGAGCTGATACTACAGCATGATCTACTGTAATTGATGGAAACATGAATTCTGTCATCAGCCTAGTTTCACTTAAATAATGCCGAAGGACAATAATCAGAAAGAAGTCCACCTCTGAATAGTTTTTTTTATTTTTTTAATGAAGGTTTGGGAGTTTCTAATGTTTCACATCAAACATATTTTGAGATTAAAGTGTGTAGAAAAAGTAGAGGGCAAGCAGCATTTGGTCGCGTTGAGACGATTCTCCTGCACTGAACTGAACTTCTTTATTAATTAAAAAAACAATCGTTCATCCTAAACCATCAGGTTGATGTCTCTGCTGCCATCACTCACTGTAAATCTGCATCATAAGGACTTTTGCATCATTACTAAGTAACCTTTCTGTCCAAACCCTGAGGCACAGAAGTCATGATGATAGATTGATGTAAAACAGTCTTCAAAACAGGTTTGGATCCAAAATAAACAGAACATGATGAAAGACGTCTCACAAGTCCAGTGGTGTTCGTGATGAATGAGCCCGAGCATTTATCACAGTCAGGTGGATTATTGCAGTTTTTCAGTTGTTTTGTTGCGTGTGGTCAGTTCAGGCCTCTCAGTGGTCGGCTTGTCAATATGATCCAGCTGGTGCTACAAGAAAACAATGCCATGTAAAATGGCCCATGTTTCAAAAAATCTATAAATTTTAACCCTCCCCCTCCCCCATAATCCTGTGCCACCCCACAAATAAAAGTGACTATTCCTTAAGAGTTTTATTCCGGGCACATCTTGAGATTTCTGTCTCATTTGACACTTGAAGCTGCAGTATGTGTTTAATCCTTCTATTTTGGGTCGAACTCCTGAAGTTGGAGTCGATTTGGACATTTCATTCATTTCCTGTTTGTATGTCAGAACTGGTCGTGTCATATCACACCATTTTTTTATTATGTATGTTCTATATATACCATTGCCACCCAGGAAGAGTTAATGTAAGGAAATAGTGCTGAGATGGTGGACTAACTCTGAGTACTTTAGGCATGTGTGAAGTGGCAGCAGGCTGATACACATCTTATGTGATTTCCTGTTGGATGTAACACACCCTTCTTTATCATTTCACACATCAAAACATCAGCCGCTAAGGGATTTGGGTTCCATGAGCTGTATGAAAACAGAAGAGTTAGTTACTGTCCTGTTTGTTTACGACTGGAGAGTTGTTTTTTTGTGAGTCTGTCAGGAACTGGCAGTCTGTTTTAGCAGATCTGCTTCCAGGTTCCTTATACTGTACATCCACAGATTGCGTTCCACCATGACACTGACATGTTCCTACAGTGTAAAGGTGGAACAGGATCTGAACAAGGATGTTTTGTTCACTGATCTGGTATGAGTTCACCGTGTTTTGACCCGTCGTGTTCCTGGTACTAAATGCCACCTCATATTTCAGTTGAAACAAAAACTGAATAAAAACTCTACAGAAGCTGCAGTGTACGGAGCCCATGGGGAATTTTTTTTTCTTTTGTGTTCCCTCGCAATAAT